ACACGGTGAATTACACACGACGTCAGACACACTTCGTGATAGTGAAGGATGTCACCGGATTTAATTCGGCGGTTTGTCGGTGTTCGAGCGATCGAAACCGTACCAAGAGTGACAGAGACAAGAGTGCTTTGTGGGTTACCTAGCGATCGGAACCCGCGATGAGAGGGGAGTTGAGGTTGTGAGCAGGGGGAGGCTGAAAGGGGAGGAGAAATGCTCCTCTCTCGTTCTGTGTTGCCCCGGGTACAACAACGATGTTTTGCGATGAGGGATGGACGGATGTGACGTCACGGGAGCTCACGCCATGATCTATGGCGGCTGATAATGAAAGCGCAGAGGTGAGATACCGCGATGGAAACTATACCATATAAGCTATAGTTTCCGCGGGAGCCGTCACACGGCAATGCCGCAGCATTCAACCACTCTCTCCCCCTCCCTTTTGCATCAACCAACCCCTGTTACCTCACCGCCGTTTCCTCCTGCAGCTCATCGCGAAATTATATCTTCACAATAGGGGATTCGACGCAGTGACGATAAAAGCTTGAATTATGAATATCGGTTAATTCACGTTACGCATTCGGGAACCGCGATATGGATGATCTGGCGCGAACGTTACTTTATGACGCGGTCGCGCGATGACCCGCTCGCGCCGCTTCGATGGTGAACGCGCGAATACTTGCAATTATCGTGGTATGCAATATGCCGCAAGCTCCATTCGACCCACTATAACAGCTGGAGGTCTGGTAATGCGCGCGGTATGTCGATGTCGCGTATAGTGAATATGAGCAATAATAGTTTATAACAAACAGTTTGCAGAGTTTTGCGCAATAAAGGAACTGCAAATATGATAAAGTTTTCCTACAGCAATTGATTGATTGTTATACACAGCTTTAGATGTAAAATCAAAGGTAAACATAAATCTTAGTTTCAATTTGTTTTAAAATTAATTGGTCTTTTTTTTTACTTTTTTTCACTTTTCGTGGACTAGCAATCCCTTTTGAGGTCACCCTCTTTTATTTTGTAAACTGCTCACTTGTATGAAACTTAGCCTATAAAATAATTTAATAATTTAATAATTTAATAATTTTCGAATCTGAGATAAAAAACAAAATGATAGATTTATAGCGGGCAGAATTTAAAAAAAATGATTTAATTATTATAAAATTCGGTTTTAGAGAATCTTTAATTGCGAAGTATAACATCGAGTTTCCAATTTCGCTTTATTTGTATCTCATCAGTGCTATGCAAACAGTGAATATTGACTTGAATTGAGAATTTCAAATTTTGATTACTGTGACACTATCTTCCTTCCACAGAGGTTATTACCCTTTTGAAATTTGATATTTTCAGGCTACATTCAAACTCGATACCAAAGCGACTCTTAAAATCGAGTTTTACGATAATCAGATTATTCTTTTGAAATTTGAATTCTAAAGCCAGAATCAAATTCAGCGCCCCCAAAAATCCTTAGAAAATATCTTCTAAGTTATGCTCCAATCCTCAAAGAGTTAACAAGAATCAAGACCTACTTTCGAGTTACTTTATTTAAATAAAAAGTTCTTAAAAGAATTCATATGCTTTGTTTGTATGTATAATATATACAATAATATGTAGAATAATACAATAGAATAATACAATAATAATACAAATATATTTATAGATTAATCAATCCTTTAATCAGTAAAGTTTTCAATTCAAAATATAATTCATCTGTCTCTTTTAAATAAATCTGTCTCTTTTAAATAAATTATTTAATGTATAATAATAATATAAAATAGTTGAAAAATGATATATTATGCGTAAAATTATTATTTCATTTTTCATATTTCTTTACGTATCAATTTTGATACAAAAAAAATCAGCTCAAGTTATGTACATTAAATTAAATTAAATTATATTTAATGTGAAGGAAATAATGATAATTAACAAATAAAGTTAAATTAATTTATTCTATTAATTTGTTTTATACGATTTTAATTTCTTTTTTTCCTTATCTTTATTTTTGTATGCAAAAGAGAGATACGTAATCAAAATATAATAATTAAGAAGAAAACAATTAATTAATTTTACACAATTATTTTTAATAATATACTCTTAATATTTAGAAAGTTCTAAATTATTATAAAATAGATTAGCAAGTTTAAATATTGATTATTTAAAATGAATTAACAAAAAATATGAAAATCAATAAAATTTATTTAATAAGAAATATTAAGGAATAAATAAACAACGTAATAAATTCATTCAAACAAAAATGTTTGAATGTAATATTTAGAATAGATATCAGCGTTTACTAAATTTTTTTAAATTTAATTTTGTAAAAAAATAGAGCAGAGCTTTATTGTATCATAAATATTTCAACTACAACACAAATTACAAATATCAATCTCAAATTTGAATTCATAATATTAAAATTGAAGTAGATTAGAGAACTGATATATTTAATTATTTCTTGACGCAATAAATTAAACTTGTATTTATATAATTATATTGAAATGAAATGGAAATGGAAATAATTGCGAGACACCTTACGAATAATATGACGAGTGTATACTTCAACATGGAATTTAATTTGGAAATTGTTTAACACAAGGCAGAATCATCAATAATAAATGTTAGCTTAAATTACGAATTTTTACATTAATATAATCTAGAGTTCTTTATGTAACAAAATAGATAAAAATTAGAATTACTCATTAAAATGTAAATTCGTGCGTGCAAATTTTATTCAAGTGGGTCATTATATCTGACCTGTTTATTTTAACATCTTGGTTAAAGTCTGCTTTTAAAACATTTCGCAATTACACAGAACACAGTTATACAGAAATACAAAGTTATGACGTATTTCAAAACAACTTTCCTAATCGGATTTACATAACTTTCGAAATAAAACAGCTTACATGTTTTCAACTGTTGTAATTATATGAAGCAAAACATATTTTTTATGATAAGATTTTGTAAAACATTTTTTTACTTGAAAATTTATCGAAAGTTTAAATACGATTATTTAAATTAGTAGAATGTTATATTGGTCATTTTAACAATACCTTGTAAAAAACATTAACGGATTTTGATATATTCTAGTTAGTCAGCTTTTAATTAAATTAGCATTTTGTGTAATCAGACACATGAAAGAAAAAACTAATAAAATATTCGATTACTTAACTCAAATTTCCATTAATTACCGACAATCTCATTACGTAATTTCATTAATAAGTAATCGGACATATTCGTGTTCAAAATTGATATACAATAGAAAAAGTTATTTATTAATATCGTTGATCATTAATTGATAATTTTGTAATCAATCAGAAAACTTTAGAAGAATTGAAAAATCAATCATCAAATAGTAAATAAAATGCAATTGTACATTAGCTATAGAAGTAAATTTGATACAGATAGATATCACTATCTATAGCATAAGAAAGCAAGTGAATGCATTTAAATTTTATTAAATTATTTTTTCGTTTAATTTCATTTAAAAATTAAATTTAAAAATTAAATATACAATATAATCAGAAAAATATTATAGTTAAATACTATATTGTATTGTTTATACGATTCATTACATAATTTTGTAACTTTTATTATAATAAATTTTTATCATTTCATTTATTAACATTTCATGGAAAAGTGTGCGATCAAAACAAAATGTGCAAGTTTTATATATAATAAAAATTGCTTTAAAGTAATAGATATATATTTAATTTTTTATACAAACTTCAAAATTTTCAAAAGAAAAAAATGATCTCTTTCGTCTTTCAACTAAATCTTTTTGAAGTAGAATCTGTTTCTCAAGTTATTCAAAATAACATTCGGTTAGTTCGATATAGTATAAGGGTTTCGATATCGCTAGGAAACTACGGTGATCCTTCTGTTTTTCTTTTCTTCTTGCAGAGGGATGTATATTTCGCGTTAACCCAGAAACTCGCTTGGTATGGGCTTCTCTTATAAGTCGATGAGCTTCCTGAGAACTCATCTGAAACTCGGATTAGGCGGCTACACGAAAAAAATCAGGAGTGTGAGGATGAGGAAAAATAAAGCTTGTATCGTGGACGCAAAGAATATGTCCAGCATGCGAAAAAAGTAGCTACGAAACAAGAGTGATAAATTCGATTAGATCAAAGAAAATTGTAAACATCTAATGAAGATTTTCGAGGAAAGCGTTATTATTGATAATTACCTATAAGGCATTTTTTGATATTAAAGCGTTAATAATTATGAAAATGTTCAATTCACAAAGGAATTTTACAACGACTGTAATAAATGCGGCATTGTAATTTTATAGTAAAAGCTAATCACGGCTGTATTTTCAATACAACGTTGTATGCTATGCGTTATTTTCAAACGAATTTCGATACCAATCTCGCCGCAGTGGATTATCGGGAACGATTATTTAACAATCTGTAGAGCCATTTTTAACATCTGAAGCTTATGAGATTGTTCACACTCTCACGAATTGATAATTTTAAATGGAAAAGTTAACTTTCCACATTTTTTATTCTTTAACTAATACTTAAATTTTATCTTTTCACGGTTAATGTTCAAACGTAAAAACGGAAAATAATACCTAATTCTTTCACAAATAATTATCAATATTTAAAAATACGTCAGATTCTTATATTGCAAATAGATTATAAATCTAATATCAACAAACTTAAACTAATGTAAGTCAAATCTTATGCACAACTGTATCTTACATAAGTTTAATGAGCTATGAAATTTGAATTTTATCAAAATCAAAATAAATTATTGTCTTCGAAGTGATCAAAGAATCTGTTAAGCTCAAGGATTTTGACATTTATTGTAGATATCGTAAATTACTTCTTTCATATATGATCATATATATTATAGAAACTATTACTTTATTATGATATAATATATAATTTGTTATTTTTTGATACACAATATATATATATATATACAGCTCGTTATTTTTTTCAAAAAAGAAAGTGCTGCGGAAATTTGATAACTTTCTATATTTTATTAAAGTCTGTGCTTACCTTAATACTGTCATCTGGTGAAGACATAGCTCATCGTCAGGTGAACCAACCAAAGATTAAGGAATGCTCTTGAAACTCCGTTCCCGTCGTGCACAGCGGCTGGCAGTTCACCTGAAATTACATCGGGGTTATTACATCTTTCATCTTATTGTTCAATTTATCAAACGAGGTTAAACGAAGAAGTAATCCGCAGTGACATAATAATTGAAAAGCCAAGAAGAAAAACCAATTAAATTTAAACTTCTATGAAGCCTTGTCTTATTGACCAAGCAACCAAATATCGTTATACCTCTATCTATATAGAGAAATTAATGTAAAAAAAAATAAATTTATAGGAATAAATAAAGTTATAAGAATATAACAAAATAATTTTTCATAAACTTTAAGTAGTAAGATTTAAGTAGTAAGATTAAGTAGTAAGATTTCAATATTACTTGCATAGATTAAATAATCTTTGTATTATATGACATTTGCAATTTGATGCGATTTTAATTTTGAAGAATACAGCATTTGCTTTTATTACTGAAAAGTTTGTACTTCTAAGTTTAATTGGTTTTCCGTTTCAGCTTTCAGTGGCATGTTGCCACAATATGGACATTAACTATAGTAAAATCATTGAATGCTTCTCGGGTCAAATGGCTCGAAAATCGTGGTGTTAAATATTCGATTTCCGCAGAAAGTCCATACGACGAGCGTGCGCGCGCGTCTCTCGTCGACAAGAACACATTTGTCATTTCATTAATGGTTGTGTTCCGTCTATAGGTTTTCCGTCAGATGCAAGCCGCTGCGGGTTGACGTATTTTCGTGGCCTCTGTTTAATCGCTCTTCGACCGAGTTACGTTTCCCAGATAATGGCTGAGGCCTCCGGGCTTTCGAGAAATTAGGCGGCTCTTATTAATGGCTCTTACAACGCTTTACGCTTCGATATCCTATGTTCAGATATTTACGAATACATAGATATCTATATCTGTGATCAAGATAAAATTAAAATGTTTACGCATAAAATATTTCTATATTGATATTCCTCATATTTTGTCTCGACTTTCTAAAAAATTAATAATATATTTTGGTAATATAATTATATTTTTAGTTAAATAATTTATTTAAAATTTATAATTTTTTAAAATTTCAATCGACTAA